CTTTATCTAAGAAAGCAGCCTTTTTTTTCTATATGTACAGTATTAATTTACCTCTGATAAAATTGTATTGCAGTTGTCTCTGGCCTGTGAGCTGCCAAGCTCTCTGTCATTCTTCCCTACAAGATCTGCCCCATCTTTTTTGGAATTATGCTAGTGGGCCTGTGATTACTTTAGAAGAACAACCTTTCTGCTTCCTCAGCTTAAGTAGCAGGTGCTACCTTTTAAATGTGTATTTGTAATCTTTATTCTTTTCCTACCAAGTAGTGCTTACATTAACAGATCTTTACCTCTGTTAAGAGAAGACCAGAGGAAGAGGGAAGTAGATGGAGAAGCAAAAGATGGTATTTTTCCTGCTGTTGCCATGTGACTGCTATATGGCAGCTGGCTCAGGTTAGGTCACGTTGACAGTGTTTCTATATAAGCTTTAGGTGACCCTCTAGAATCCCAAATCTTCCCTCCTGCAGAACAGGGAGAGTGTGATACTTGGGTGCAGTTGTGATTAAAGTGTTTTGGTATCAGAGCCCATTAGCCTTCACCCTTGCAGTTGCTGTTTTAAATGACACAATACTACCAGATGTGTGTTCATCTTCTGTACCTCTGTCCTCTTTGGGCATGCCTGAAACTGCATTTTGGTTCTTGTAAGGGATCTGTGTAACTCTGCAAGAATATCTTTCTCTTCCATAGATCTACAGAAGGAACACTTGAAATTTAAAAGCCAACCCGGGAATTAAAGGAGCAGTAAGAAGTGGAAATAGGCCAGTTTGTGAGTTACACAGGGGACCATTTAGAGCCTGATGTCTGGTAGCTGAATAGATGAGCTTCTGGAAATGGTGACAAGTGTGCTGTTTCCCTATTACAAAGAGTAATGAGAGGCTGAGGAAGAAAATAAAGAATTAAAAAAATAATGACACATGAATACACTTAACTGTGAAGCACAGTTGTACATACTACGAATAAAATGAAAACTACGTCATGATTCCCTGTAATATTGTTCCGTACACAGGTGGTGGGTTTTGCCAGAGGGTTGCAGAACTGTGAAATTTTACCCCCTGAATGTCTGATTGTGTTGTATGGTATTTGGCTTTTTAGGTGCATCAGAAATTAAGTTTTCAGTCACCCAAATGTAGCTTTACAAGGAAAACTTACTTCTTTCTAGGCTAATTAAATGGGTGGATTACGAATGTGGTGCCTGAATCTTGGAAAACAAAAGGAAGTGACAAGACAGAAGCTGCTGGATAAAACCAGTGGTAATAAGGGAGACGTAATGTTTGGCAGCTGAACTAAGACAGTAACTGTCTGGGTCTGAAAGGCGGTTCTATCTAGGACAGATATCTCTCTCAAGGAAGAGCAGCAGGCCTTTTGAGGCCCTCTTTATGTGTTTTTGGGACCTGATGATGAAGGAAGGACAGATTTATGACCCACTGGTACAAGAGCAGGGACTGGGAAGCTCACTGTCACCTGCATCTCATGACAGTAGTCTTTTCCTCTGGAATTAGTAGCATGGCTTTATTGATCTTTGTAGCCAGTGGGTTTGTCAGTTGAGGATACTTTACAATGTTATAGAGGCTTTAGTGCTCAGATGTGGGGGGAGTGATCCCTCTGTTTTCCTAGTTGAAACGAAAGTCTAATTGGAAAGACTCCAAATGTAACTTTTTTAAGACTAAGTGGTTAAGTTTTGGAACAGGTTGTATTTCATAGGCTGGAGAAAGTCAGCTAAACCCTAGGAAACCAGCAGAGGAAGGAGGATGTATGTGATAGCTGTTGGTGGGATGACTGTAAATCAGCAGTGTAATAGAGCTGTGAAAATAGCAAATGTCATCCAGTGATGGCTGAATCTCCAGCTGATGGCAGGCAGGTTACAGGACCATTGTATAGACACTGGAGAAGTCCTCTTTGGAACAACACAGCCAGTGCTGACCGTGCTTTTTCAATAACATGACCTAAAATTGGAATAACTGCACAGAAGGGCAATATAAAGAGCCTGTCTTACAGGATGAGAAAGATTGACTCTTTGCTTATCTCTAGCTGCTAGCTAGGGAGTGAAGGAACCTGATTGCCATCTAGAAATACCTTTGGAGGGGAAAGCAGGTGAAAAGAACTGTTTTAAGCCAAATAAGTTTGCTGAAGAAATCAGCAGGTATAATTTCGTAGTAAAGGATGCCTGCAAAGCACCTGGACTTGGTGAAGAAGATTGTCTTTGTTGTTGCTTAACAATGGGCAGAACGTGGGGTTTGTACGGTTTCTAAGAGCTAGGAGAATATTAAGAATTTCTATTAATTAAGAAGTCTGTGGCTTTCAAAAGATAACATGCCTTAATTAAATTCAGTTTCGTGCCAGAATTGTTGCTCTTTCACTGCAGCCTCAATTAGCATCCTCATTGGTAGTCTCGGGAAATAAAGGTTGTAATGAACACAGTTCTCCTGGCCCTGTCAGCCCCGGCCTATCAAGGTCAGTCCTCATGCACAGTGCTGGGGCTGTCCAGGGAGATGCACATGGTCAGTGTTCCTGCT